GAAGCATACTTCGAAGGTAGAATATTAAGGACAAAGTGGACAAGAAATGTTTCAGACATGTCAACTTCTAGTGATTTGAGTTGGGCAGAGATGTCACGTAATTCTGTAATGTGCTATCGTATGTCACTGTGACTATTATACTTCAAGGAATCAAACTTTGATATCAGGGTACTAGCAAGTGCCTTTTTAGAGCTCATAAATTGCTCCTCAATTGCAGTCATGAATTCTTTAGTAGTTTTGAAGTCTGAAATGGAGTCTCTGATTTTCCTTAAGATATGACTTTGTATGAGTAGGAGACTGAGGCGGTTAGACCTCTCCCACTTTTCATGCAACTTTTTCTCCTTAGGCGTACTGAATTTCGTAGGGATAGGTGACCTATCCTAACGAAACGCTGTGTCAATCTCCATACACCCCAATGTAAAAATAATTCTATCTTTCTATTCTGAGAAATTTGAATTATTAAGCAAAGGGATATGAGATGCAGATTGAGACTTAAGGCTAGGAAGTAAAGCTGTAAAATAAAACATTACATGCTTACAGTTAATATGCATGCTAATAATCACGCTTATACTTTATCCAAACTACTAACTCATATTAGCAATTTTAATGGTAAATCACTTTATACAACATGATAATGATTTACCTAACAATGAAACCAACGATATAAAACATCATAAAAAAGTAGCATTCAAGATCTTTGGGCAAAAAGAATTCAACTTAGCTACTATACCTCAAACCATTCTTTCACCCCACCGATCACTTATGATATAATAACTTCCCTTTTGGGTAAAGCCATTATTTAATATGGTGCAAGTGTTCAATGTCATGGATAAACAAAAATTTCTTTATTGATCAATTTTCTTATATTTTAAAATTATGGGATACTTTGGATCGTCACCATAAAATTAAAATAAATATAATTTTATAAAAAATAAGTTTCCAAACACAAGATGCTTTGACAAGTCATTATATATAGAACATTTCGAATCATGACATATAAACAAATAATTTTATTCATATGAATCCAGTAATTAAAATAATTAAATTTTACCTAAAACTGGATTTAGATAAATTTTTCATAGCCAAAATGCCATCAAAACAGTGGTACAAGATCATCAAATAGAGCAAATATACTGTTAAAGAACATTGGTAGCCTTAACGCATGCATCATACCCATTAAATAACAATAATAATATTCCAGCAGCAGGGGAAATGGGCAATATATATATATATATATATCCATAAAAGCATGCTTTGACTATTCAAAGTCTCAAACATTCAAGGCATTCAACGTTTGTGTGCAACAGGAAGTATTTAACAATATATCTATTCAATTGATAAAAGTCATACGCTACGCCAAAAATTTTGAACAATAAAATAATACCCATTCATCATGCTTTCATACTTTTGTCCACTAAGTAGTTCACATGCAGTCAAATGCACACACAGGTCAAGCAGCATAGTTAATATCGTATCCTAGATTGTATCGGCTCGGCGATAACAATTAATGGACAGACCATGCGTGAACGATGACAACTAGAAAAAATGAAATATCTTTATCTAAATTTCTTTGCACAATTCCAATAACGGGAATCACAAAAATTTGATAACTCCTAAATTTACTTCTCGCAGATTTGATTATACAAATAAAATAAATTCTAAGAACCAAATCTCATGACTTAGCTTTGATACCAATAGGAAGAACCAATGGTCTTAAACGGATCGAATAGAAAGCTAACCTTGACTTAGGGGATTCATAACAATGTTTCTTAATATAGATATGTAACGAAAATCTTCACGAGAAGAATATCAAGAATACTGAATATAATCACAAACTTGATTACCAGTAGATTGGAGATAGATTTTTCTAAAGAGTGAGAGATATTGTAAACGTGAATAAGAGATAATGTCTCTTAGGTAATTTATATCCCTCTAATTAGTAACCAACTGCTTCACATTAAAAAAATCAGTAATCATTCTCTCGCATCAAGATAACTGTCAGTAAACTAACGTTTTGTTAAACATGTTTCCTTGTATATAGGACACAATTTTCACAATGAAACTATTAGTATCTATATGTGGATTCTATTAAATAGGTTCCAACATATAAGCCATATGAGTTACAAGTTTGACCATTAGTATCTATATAATGAGAATTATATTAGTGAAATTTAGTGGTCCATAAATTATATATGTTATATTCATTGTGAAAATTATTTGGTGAGCATTATAATGAATTTGCTCAATAAATTACAAAGACCAAAATAATTGAGTTTTATGATATGAGTTAATGGGTCAATTATTTAGGACAATGGATTATGATAGGAGTTAATGGGTCAATTATTTTGGGCAATGAATTATATATTTTATACACCTATATATATGTTCTATTGTGTGAGTGACAATGTAGGAAGTTCATATGTCTTCTTCTCTTTTTGTGGTTTACATTATGTTATATTCTTGGGTAAAAAAAGTGTGTGTGTGAAGTTTCAATTTCTCAAGGTTGTGTAGACTTAGAGAAGTTACAGTGAGAAGCTGAATTGTTGTATCTTGGAGACGACGTGTTGTGATATATTATACTAGACATATTATCCGTAGATGCAGAAACCGTCTTAAAAAGAGCAATCTAGTCCGTACCTCAACCCAAGCTAAGTACTTTATTTGTGGTATGAAATTTATTGTTATCTTCATTTGAACAATGTTCAAGGTAAGTGTGATAATTTTTCTCAATTTTATATTTATAAAATTTTTTAGATTGATGTTTATTTTTAATTATATTCGGATCGAGCTCTAACATAGTGTTCTTATTTGTATCCAAGGGTTTGATTTTCTTCAATACAACCAACGGCTCCTTCAATGGCACTTTTGATCCAATCAACTCATGATCCCAACAGTAAAAGTTTAATTAGCCATTATTGGTATTGGGGGTTGCCGACAGCTAGTAGAGAGTTCCAGGGAGTAAGGGGGATTGGTCGTGTTTGAGTTATCTGGATGGTTCTCGAATCATGTCAAGGTAGTTTAGGAGTTGTATTGGTCGCTCCTTCCCCTCATGGTTTGTCTAGGATTACTATCTATTGATCGCTCCTTCCCCTTTTTTCAAAAAAAAAAAAAAAAACTTAAGAAGCTTGGTTGAATCTAGTCATACATTGTAAGTATAGTAATACTATGGATCCCAAATTGACATTCTAAAGTTTGGATTCCAAATGCAGAAACCCTTGGATTAGTGAGTTCTATTACAAAAGTTATTCAGACTAATTTTAGACAATACGGAGATTTTTAAAATGCGAGATATAAATTTCGACATAAGTTAACGAGTATTTGAGATAAAATCGAATTTAACTTCTCAACAATATATTTTACAGATTAAGGCACCACCGTTGGTAATTTTTTTGAAATAATTTTTTAAGTAATTAAATGATCAGAACTTAATTATCATTTTTGAAGTAACCAATTCTTTTATGGAAATCTTCCAAAAATTTGTATAATCAATGATAAAGTTAACCCTAACTTTTGATTTGGCTGAAAAAAATTTAGAGAAGAAAGAAAAATAACAATAACGTAATGATGCTATTTAGAGATAAGTTTGAGGTTATTTGATATTAAAATTAAGATTATTTTGCTGACAACTTAAGCGACACAAATCAAGCTAAAATGCATCAATATGCTGCACATATTTAACTCATTCATAAAATGAACTTAGAAATCTGTTGGGATAAGTGGCTCATATTAAGAGTATGAAGAGTTATACCGAGTCTAAGGAGATAATGGGTCAATTGTCTGAGCAGGAGCAAATAAAAAACAAATTATCAAACCACGTAAATTTTTGTGTTCTTCTTCTATTATTCTGTTTCATTGATTGTTTATCGCCCACACAAATCACAACAAAATCTAATATAATTCAGTTCTTTATACAATTTAAAGGATTAATAGCACTTTTAGTCCATAAATTATGTATCTTTTTGTCTGTTTAGTTCTTATTGTATTAATTTTATTAATTTAATCGTTAAAATATTTAATTTCTGTAACTTTGGTCCCTACATAGACGGAGCCGTTAAAAAAAGTCCCAGCATAGACGGAGCGGTCAAGTTTTTTTTGACGAAAGTGACCGCGTTTTTCGAGCTTTCTGTAACTTTATGATGCGTCCGTGGTTGGAGCTTGAGCAGCTTGGATGGCAAGACCATGACTCAGCTAAGATGAATTCACATGATGCTCATGCCTGACCATTCGTGCATTATAGATAGCTATTAGCTAACATAACCACAAATGGGTCATACACACGTTACAGAAAACTGTGTGGATATATAGTTTGCATCATACATGTTCGTTGAAATTTCCCAACCAAAACCCCTGGTCTCGGTCAGAGTATTCTGTTTTATGGGTGAATAGTCAGAGTCTTCTGTTATCTGATCCTCTGGTCCTCTTTGATTGTTCTTCTATATGGCTGCTTAGACTGAAGCTCTTGATAATGCGAGGATCAACCTACAATGATTCACATGATATTCATGTCAATGTAGTCACACATTTTCTTTGGGAAAACTACGAATAGGTCTTATATGTAACTATATATTGTGGCTTTTGTGGCCTCATGAGTTGTTGCAGTTATGAAAATTTCATACCTTTGATGACAAATTTTAGGATTCTGGTTAGCTATATGCATCGTTGTTTCGATACAATCTGTTTATTAACTGCCCCATTGCAAATTGCAGCATAAAGCCTTAGTGGAGCAATTTGCTCATTAATGGTAAGAGAAGAAAAAGCTACACCCCTTCTCATGTGTAAAAATATAGTAAAAGGTCTCTGTCAGCATGACAAGAAATTTTCTGAAAGCAATGCCTATCTTTCCATCTTTCTTTTGTCGGTTCAGTTTCCATCATCACAGATAGATTTTTAGAGACTACATATATTTGTAACAGTTTAGTTTCAAGTGAAATGGGTCCATTGTTCTGTAAGATATGATGCATAAATTACCTACCAAAGAAGAGATCCGTCTCTTCCCTACCATGGTATGCTATTCCATTAACATTTGTTATGAAATTGAGAGAATGCATGGAGATTCTCTATGTCTCAGTCTCTCTCTCTCTCTCTCTCTCTCTATTTTCATGCATCCACGCGGCCTTGTGTGTTATGAAAGATTTCTTATGTTCGAAGCTATGAATCTCACTTAATATGTTCACATTATCTAATGAGACATCTTTGTTAATCAAACAATTAGAAGAGTAGTGTACCTGCTCCTCCTTGATATGTAATTTCTAGGCTTAAATTCAGCTTGTTACCAATTTGATTGAGTACTCTCTCTTTCTATCTATCTCTTCACAGAATGGGCTGCAGCTCCGAAAGGCTGTTTCTGACGTTTCAAGTGAAATCAATAAGATTGGGATGGATTTGGAAGCTATAGCTGAAGTCATGCAAGTAGAATGTGAATGCTGCGGCCTCAAGGAGGATTGCACCCCAGGCTACATCCTAAAAGTCAAGGATTCTTTTTCGGGTACATGGGTTTGTGGTCTTTGTTCTGAAGCTGTAAAAGAAATACTAATGCGCCCACCAAGAACAACTATTGAAGAAGCTGTGAGCAGTCACCGAAACTTTTGTCAAGAGTACAATAGCACTAGACTCAATCCAAAACTTTCATTAACATTCGCAATGAGGGATTTAGTAAGAAGAAGCTACGAGAAAAGAACTTCCAAGGATTTTTCAACATCAAAGATTGCACGAAGCTCCAGTTGTGTACCAAGAATTGATCTGAACCCAAAGCACTAAGTTGGAGTTTTGGATTTTGTGGCCATAGCACTTGTGAACCTATCTCTCAATTGCATGAACTTTATTCCAATCATAGCTTCGATTCGCTTGTATTGACTAGGTGAATTTGTGTGAATGAATGGTAAGATTTAGCTATTTAAAGGGTAACAATGAAGATTATTTATAGGCGAACACGTCCTGTATATAGATCAGTTATATTTACAAGTCAGAATGGCACAGCATCAAGGCTGCAATTTCTCTACCAGTTTGTATGAGTAGTAACAAGTATAAGCTGTTTGGTAGAATGAGAAGTTTCTTGAGCAGTTTTAAATAATTTTTGTTGTCTGATTTTGAGCATTTTGTATGAGTAATAATACCCAATCATTCATTTGAACCTTTTAGTTTGGCCAGAACTTGTTGCTTCTCTCTCATTAATAGCAAAAGATACACGAATGCACTAAATACCAAGCAAAATGCTATTCATAATTTCATTTTTTTATTTTTCTGATCATACACAATCAAGGCTCACACAGTTTTTTTTTTTTTTTTAAAGAAACGATATGCTATTTATGAATTAGAAATATCCAAAAGAAGTGCAGACATGATAAAGTCCGGTGCCTGTTCCTTCCAAATAATACAACTGTCAATAAAAGATGAATTCATAGATAGTTCGTGGGCCACCCTATTACCATTACAGCGCACCGTAGACACTTCAAAATACCTCTGGGTGTGGCTGCTATAGCTGCCTGAAACTGAGCAATGATATGCTGAGCTTGCCTTGCTAGATCTTTAATCACATTTTGGAATAAGCGCTCATTTCGACAATTCCAAACAAGCCAGCAATGAAAGAGGAAAATAGCAAAGTCATCTATAGAGAGGACATGGGTAACAGACCGGAACCAATGACCTGGTTCATTATCTTTGATATGTATCGCTTTCGTTAAGGGGCTATGTTGCCAGGAAGCTTCGGTCCATGAGCAACCTCTTAGACACTGAAGTTATTGAAAAGTTGGGTCAGGTCTCCGATTTCAGTTTATAATGAGTCACTGCTCCAGGTCTCCTGTTGATGTTCGATATTTGGGTTTAAAACTCAAAAATAGCTAAACTAGTAACATGAGTAGTAAACTCAGACTTGTTGAGTTTAAATTTTTATAATTTATAAGGGTATGACTATGAGAGATTTATCCCTCGTGAATACCTTAGTGTTGACATGATGGGTTACTTTTAGTTGAACCGAAAAAGAGATTAGTCAAGATGTGAATATATACATTTGGACATTCTTGACCGTTGAATAAAAAAAAAAATCCGGATTTGATCCTGCATTGGAGAGAGAGAGAGAGAAGAGGAAAAGGGGAGGGGGGGGGGGGGGGGGGGGTTACGAAAGGGTTTTTGTATATCATTACTAGACCGAATGCTTACGGATTTAAAATTTTAGCCGAGTATCAGTTTCAGACATTTATGTTGGGCCTGAGATTAGACTCTTCCCGGTCTCTCTGACGTCACCAGGGGCCGAAGGTGCTATTTGCTATGGTCTCTAAGGGCCCCTAAAAATGCAATTTGGACTAAAGAATTGGTGTAAATGGAAAAATTGAAAGTGGTACACCAAAAAATATACAAAAAAAATGTTGAGTAATTAAGTCTTAATTTTGATACTTATTTGTATTTAAGTACATTATTTGAATTTTACTATTTTTTTGTGACATTTTTGTCCTCTATTGATCCATGTGTATTTTCTTTGGAAAATTATGCATTAAACATCTGCTAGTTTTATCGGAGAACTTTAATATTCCATATTTGTATGTTCTCCCTTAATTCTTGCTTATTTTTTTGGAAAGTAGTTTTGTTTTCAAATTATATTTAATGCACCTTAATTCATGTGTATTTTTTTTTAAAGTAGTTTTGTTTTCAAATTATATTAATAATATCCAGTGTAACAGTAATAGTGTAATAAGTCATTTACACAAAATATTATACTATTACATTTTATCAAACATATATTTTCTTATAATTTCATTCAAAACAGTCCATCTCCGTTTTGAATTTGTTACCATATACACAAAATTATTGAACACTGTTTTTGTTACAATGTATTGTTATATTGTCTTTGTTACACTATTATGAAGTTCGGATATTAATAAATTTTGAAATTCAAATAAGTGATATATTCTAAAATAAACAGAATATTAAAATTCTTCTATAAAACTAGTAGTAGTAATTATTTAATGAATAAATATAATTTGAAAATAAAATTACTTTCTTAAAAAAATTAGAATGAATCAATATGTTTTAAAAATAAGAGATTTTGAATTAAATGACTCTAAATTTCAGCACTTAATAAATGTCTTATTAAAATTTTTAGGAAATAAAATTTTACGAAATGAACATTTACTTCTTTGTATCTCAGCTGTGTATTTCTTTTAAAAATATTTTGTTCTATATACTTTTTTACAATTATGTCTAATTCAGTGTAGTGAATTTCAAAACACCCATAAATATAGTGAACATTCATACTGAAATTTCAGTGTGCCTTCAAATTTCGGGACAACGATTTTGTTGAACATTAATGAGTAAATTACAAATATCACCTTTAAACTATGACTCTCATATTAATTAATTCTTAACTCTTTTTTTTTTTGTGACAATTGAGCCACCGATCACTCAAACTATGTCAATTAAGCCATTCTTTCCGTCTCTGTTAGAAGGTAGGTGTCACTCATATGGCCATATGACATAAAAAAATAGAATGACTCAATTGAGATAATTAGAGAGTTATGGAGTTTAATTAACACACACAAAAAAAGATTTAGAGGCTTAACTGCCACAAGAGTCATAGTTTGAGAGCCATATATGTACTCATTTGTGTCACCTGAGTGGGCACACTTTTCTACTTTCTATTAAAAAATCTAATAGAAGTAGACATAAGAACTTAATTAACACAATTGAAAAGTTCATGGGTTCAATTGATATAAAAAAAATTTAAGAACTTAATTGATACAAAAATCACAATTTGAGTATATATATATATATATATAGTTTACTCAACATTTATTAATTCAATCTCTCCAAACACCATTGAAGATTTATTAATAAAAAATTTCACGCACATCGGGTGTTTACTAAACAGTTTGTAAGGATCGAATTGAGGTATTAATTATATGGACTTGATTATGGTACAATCAAAAAAATTTCAGTACTATACCTTCAAAATTTACTACTTTTTTTTTTTATAATTTTTGTGAGTTATTTTACAATTAAAAAATTTACGCCAGCAGAATATACTTTTCTCTACCATATATATATACCAACCTTCCCAGGATGATGAAACCTCAGACCTCCCCGACTCTATTGCATCCCTGCTACAATGTATTTTACATGTTACTTTGCTGTTTACTTTTGCCCTTAAATTAAGACAAGACAGATCCAAACATCAAGATACTTTTCAAGTTCCTCCACTGATATGGTTCACATTATAGTAAAAGAAGATGATTCAAAGTTCTAACAAAATTAGTTGAAATATGTGTAAATTCATTCAGACATTTTTGACAATTGAAACAAAAAAAAGTCTAAAAACCTCAAGCACAAGACATGTACTTGCAGCCATGGAGTAATTTAAGATTCATAGTTTTAGGTAGTATCCCCTAGTTTTTTTTTTCTTTTTGTGGGTAAATTTGTATCCCCTTTGCTTGTAAGAGTAAATGAATAGAAATTCAATGTGGGCTTGGTAAATACATGGAATGGTTGCAAGATGATGCCTACTCACACATTGCAATTTGCTATACTAAAAGCGAGAAAATCTACTGTTCTGAGTTCAATTTCTATAAAAAAAAAGATTAAGGAAACATATCAAAATTTTTTGACACATGTTCAAAAAGTTGAGGGTCAACTCTATAAAAGTGTTGGATTAGTCCTACAAACTTGAAATCGATTGCAACTTTTTAGAATCAAACCTAATCGGCTTTATTGAATCATAACTCAACCTATTTAAATTGTTACTTAACCAAATTTTATCACACCCTAGTTTGATTTTACCATAACTTTCAATACCGAACTAAATTTTATTGCACCCTAGTTTGATTTTATCATAACTTTCAACACCGAACTAATAAGTAACTTTTGAATGCTATGAAAAAATTTAAAACAAAACGAGATCCTAGCCTATAGCCCATGTAGGGTGGTCCTCAAATCTTTTTTATAGAGTTCATGTACAACATTGAGTGCAATAAGTGCTATATGGTCCCGAGTTCCCAATCCCAAAAAACCCTTTTTGAATATTAACCCAAAGCTGTGCCCAATTGATGCAAAATTCTCACATAACACAATAGACCCACACGTGCAATACACCCTTTACTTTAGGGTTTGAAAGCTTGATTGCTAATCCTATCCCTTCACAATGTGCATGTGAACCCAATCATCTTGATTGTAGTTCTTTACAAATTGCAATGGGTCCATGAACACTGTGAAAATATGGTAAAGCTCTCATGAGATACTTGCTTTTTTGATATATGATTAGGGCATACAAGAAGTCATTCAAAGATTACAACTATCTTTGCAATGGAGCTTGACCTTATAGCTCAACCAAGTTACATGGTAACTAGACCTAAAATTTAAGCCTCTGTTTGAATTTTGACCATTTTTTGGAGTTAAGTCATAAGAGATTTATCTTTCGTAAATATACTTGTCTCGACGTGAATGACCTGTCTTTAACCGGATCAGAGAGAAAATTAATCGAGATACGTGTTAGTTGATCCAACCATTCCTAACCGTTGAACTAAAAAAAAACTTAAGCCAAGACATACAAGGTGTGCTTGGATTAGGTGGTGACTGATCCTTTGATAACTTGGAATCAGATAGAGGTGACAATTTCTAACACAACACGATAATACAACTCAACTCGACACGAAAATAGTAAGTTAGGGTTGATCATTTCTCAACACGAACCTGTAAATGACACGACCTGTTAACAAGAATAATAAATGGGTTGTATTAGTGTCAAACACAAATAATACAAAATTGACATGATT